AGAGTTAAGGGGAAAGTGGTTTTGCCTTCGGTCTCAACAGATATGTCCAGTAATAAGGGTGATTGTGTGCAGCAAAGGCAATACACCTCATAACAACTATAAAAGACTATAACAAGTATTCTCAGTCCTCTTAAAGTTTTCCTAATGGAAGAAAGTATTCATTAGCATTATGCCTGTCCCTGGAGCCCCCTCTGAATTAGTCACCAAAGCTATATAGCTAATGATCTGTTGTATATGGCAAAGTACCAGCAGCAGTGTAACTAAAAAGCTCTCCAACTGGGAATCGAACCCAGGTCGCACGCGATCTTAGCAGTCTCGCCACTTGACAGGCGTGAGTTCTACCATTATACCATTGAAGACTGCGGCTTGACCGGTTCTTATAATCCATACCGTGCTTACACCTGGCTTAATTGAACGTCGTGCATGCAACATCGGGCCGCATTATCAACTTCAGCGCACCATGCGTATGTTCCCAATCAGTGTTCTAGGCCGATTAAAGTCTCAAACAGCAAAGGCAAGAATCATAGATGCTGGTGCGTTCTGAATCTGGGGATAAAGGGCGAGCAACCTGAAGAGTCAAGCAATTACGGACACTCAACCTAAGATATCGAGGCAAAATTTTGCAAGCGAATTGCTTCTTCCAAAGATGTAGCCCTAAGGAGTTAGGGGTTGCTGAAGTTACGGGGACTCAGCATATGACGATGACAGACCAACGGGGGAGTTGTTGAAAACGTAGGGCAAGATATATAGGACCCTGATGTTAGCAGTGAAAGGAAAGTCCTTTCTGGAAGCCGGATGGGCGCGAGCTGATGTCTTCCTATGACCTGACGGTCGTAGCGGTCTCGGTCCGGCGTGATATGGAGTGCAGAGCCAAACACCCGTCCTCAAACCTTGTATGCAGCGATCCATTTACATCAGGCTAGATAGTTTGAGTGTTTACAAAAGCGACGAGGCCGCTCCAAACAGGATCCGTGTCGATGTACAATCCAAACGGCACGGGTGGCGGGTGGCACACCCCGACCTGTCGTGTACGTGGGACCTGCGTTGAAGGCTCTGGAAGAGTGTACTGCAGAGACTGAGAGCTTGCGTCCATCAAGTCGGCGCTGCCGGAGCATCCAGTGCCTGCACCAACCGGCGGTCTCATAACACGCCCATCCTACAAGGCGAGGCGAAGACAACCTCTGCTTGAGATGCTAGTGGTACCCACGGGTCGAATCTCCAATGGCGCAGCCGTTAGAGCATATCGTTGTACTCGTTCGTCTATGTTGAATAACTAAACGTCAGTTTATCACACAGAAATCGCCAGAGCGCCGGTATTCTTATCATACGCTTGCTTTTGGACTGAGTCCTAAAGTTCGGCGCCTTGGAGCCATCGTTTTTGGAGTGTAACCTCTCGAAGTTACCACGGATCTCCCAGCTTCGGAGTATAGCTTGAGTTTCGGTCGCCAGCACTAACTAGTTAGATATGTGACGGCCAAAGCTTGCCGCTGGAGCAAAGTGTGTGGGAAGGGGAACTTTCACTTGTCTCCAGGCCGGAAACCTGTTTTTGGAAACAGATTGGCTAGTAGCCGAAAATCTAACGCCCAACAGAAGAAACAAATAGGCCCCACCGCAAGTCAGAATCGTCCCTGCGAATTCCGAGACAAATCAGTCCACGTTCAACTTATTGAACAGGTGCATAAGCTAGGAAGAAGGCCGCGATTTGAGTTTGGTCGAATGTACAGCGCGTGCCACAGGGTCATTCAGAGCCTGCGGGCCCTTGTGTGTAAGTGACCACAAGAATCTGAAAGTTAGATTCAGTCGTCTTGAATGAATGAAGAAATTATAAACCATTGAAATTAGACTCGCCGCTGAAAGATGGACAGTGATTTTCCTCTTTAACTGACTTGAATGCAGACTGGCTGAGGGCTGGCGATGTTGAGTCGCTAGTGTGACGGTCGAGGACAAAAAAAGTTCTTTAGTGCCCCAGCGAGAGCACCAAATCAAGGGAAGTGTAAGGCGACTAAGGCCATCCATTGTGAGTCGCGAAATGCGCCTGATGGAGGTTATTGGAAAAGACTGTCATACACGACTCGAATGTCAGTTGCTGGCGCGGAGTCTTTCGAACACTATGTGGCCGCATGTGAACATGAATAGCGTTCCAGCAGTGGGGACGGTGTCGAAGTGAGGGTAGTGGTGTCTCTGACAATTGGGACGGGACCTACACATTTCGAGACACGTAACAGCTATTGAACTATTGTAGCAGGTACCCCCGAAAATCCATGGCTCGCACCCATTGCTTTTTTATACCTGCTCGCCCTCGCTCTAGTAATCTACCGTCCTATCCGCCCTTAAACTCCCCTCTCAAAAGGTGCCAATATTCAGCGCCGTCACTCTGCCAAGGCCTTTGTACTCGCTAAATCCAGCTCCAGCAATACCCTCAATTGAATGACTCTCGCAGAGAACTTTGACAGGTTACGAAACTGAGCTGACATTGCTGTCCTCTGGCCGGGATTGATTTTGAAGCTCTAATCCGTGGGCTCCAGCGTATATCCCCCCGTACCAAGTGCTTCCAACCTACCTGACTGATCCCTCCATTAGCATGACGTGCTGTGACTGCATCGGTAATACCTAAGACTCTACTCCATGTAAGGCCTACCAGTGCACTATGGTGACACAACATCCTATCATATCATCAAATTCTAACAAGGATCGTCGGTGCGGAATGGAACGGTACGCTTTGATCAGTTGATCTCACACGATTCTTTCTCAGAATGCGTTACTTACATGGTGTAACCAACACCAAAAGCACCTCAGCCGACTAACGCACAGATTTGATTCGGTCACCATGAAAGATTTTGCGATGGATTCAATGCAGCTCAAAGGGTCGTCTCGGGTTGACTTCCTACCAAGCAACGCATTCAAACATGCGTATGTCACTATCAAATAAATCTTGACTTCTAATCTAGTTCTTATTCCCAAAACTGGGACGTTGCTATCTCACCAATTCCGGTCCTCTCGCTTCCCTAGATCTTCCCTGTTGGTCAAACGCGCGATAATGCCTCCGGATCAGAATGTTCTCTCCAATACATAGGCTTCGCGAGGTTTTTGCGTGGGGCCACAATAATATTTGCGGCGGCGACTGGTCTAGGGGCGCGTTGAGCGCCGTTGTCGAACCTGGCATGACCCTCATCTACGTTCATACCGTTGCCGTCGGGGTATTGTACGTCGAAATCGGTCACGAAGATGTTTCCAGGGTCGGCGCTAGCTCACACTCGTAGTCGTGTAGAGTGGAGCGCCACCACCCTGAAGCCCAGATCATCCTCTGTATGTAGTGGATCATTAACGCCGACCCTGCTGTCCAACAGCTCTTCATTCGCCAGCGGGGTCGTCGGAGAGAATATTGGAGAAGATCTGTGGCGTATAGAGCATGCGCAAGACAAAGGGTGGCCAGTGATCCTCTCGATATAGTATAGGTCAATCATGGGCGACGAATTCTTCAAGATATCGGCCGACTACGAAGGTTTTGTATTCCCCTATTCAGATCAACCATAATAGCGATGGCTCATCGTCGGCTCCTCACGAGTGGATACCTGGGGTCGATACTCTGAAAGATATGTAGACCCAGCAGTTAAGCCCCCGAGCTCATCGCGGCCACTGATACAGCCTCATATTTTCGCCTGTAGATCCGATTGGAGCCGCACGCTGAGAATATCTTCACCTTGGCCTCGCAAGACTCGTGACATACCAAATCGGGAGATGCTGCGGAAATGGCCCAAGTTCAACCCATTCATTTGTTGAAATGCTTGCCCGATGGATGTGGCAGAGGGCGAAAGGTGATGGAGAAAGTGCATCGTAGCAGAAAGGTGTGTGTCGCGATATCTGAATCAAGATTCGGTGGACTTGAAAGTTCATCGCTAGAATTCCAAGGGGTTCCGAAAAGAAGTTGAGTTTGATACCTAGAATCTTCGAGTCCGAATCAAGGGCGGGGAAACGCGGGGTTCCCAATACTAGCGGGGTCTCAATCAATATGATCCATGGAATGCATTGCAAATCACGCTTTACAAGTTTATTCTGTGAAGACATCCAGTTCGCATGGCCTTTCCGCTCTCCCTCAAGCGATTTCGGCTTCTTCAAATGACTTGTAGATGATGAAAGCATCGACATAGGCCTCCGTACCATCTGCTTGTTTCAATCGACCAGCCTTCGGAACAACCCCAACGCGAGTGAAGCCAAGGCGGTCCCAAAGAGCAAGTGATGCGGTATTGGAAGCGTACTATCGATATTCAGAGCAAAGTGTGAGTGAGATAAGTAAGGCGCACAGTCGGCGACGTACCACCAAGTTGAAGATTGATCCGAGGTAGCCGAGTCTCGGGGCAAAATGAAGAAACGATTGGGCGAGCACACCCCCGACGCCTCGTCCACGGAACTCGTTGATCACCACGAATCCGCCGTTGCAGATCTGAAAGCGAGGGCGTCGGTAGTCATTAGCGCGTGGGGGTCAATGAAACTGTTGGGCTCATGAGGCTAACATGCGATGAGCGTCCGGGATAGTTTGGTTTGATCTAGTATTAGAAGTGCGTTGATCAAGCACGCAGACACACATGAAGGATTGGGGCAGGCATACATAGTAGAACCCCCAGACGCAGGATGACCACGATCGCTCTGCACGCGCAAGCTCCAAGGTCGTTGGCGTATCAACTTGACCAGTTACAGCGATACCAACGAAGACGTCAGCAGCAAAAAAATACGCCTTGAAGGCGTCGATATCAATGGGCCCTTGTTGAGGATACGAGTTACCGCGCTGCAGTTCGGCCGAGAATTCGTCATGAAGGAGGGGGATGAGGTCAGCCGGTATAGAGTCGAGAGTGACGTGAAAGATGACTAGCGAAAAGGGTTCATCGGGAGCAGCAGTCACAGCGGGTGGTTGACGACTCGAAGCCTTCAGGGGAATGGTGAAAGGCGGCAATAGAGTTGTGCATCGTGGGCGATCCTCACTGGATCCATAAGGAGACATGCTGCTGTGCAAGAACCTTCATCAGATATACGTACGTGGCAAGGCAGAGTCTTAGCGCAATGCCAGCACCTTTTCTTTTCTATCCTTTGGAGCTTCGATTAGATGCTCGACGCCTTGATGCGCACACGAATCACCCTAGGCCTTTGAAAAGAATGAAGGGCCACGATGCCCCAAGTCGAAGCAGAAAACGCGTTTGACAGGTGGCTTGACTGCTAATCAATCGGCGGGCGGCGGCCGGGAACGCACAAGCGGGAAGGCCGATAAACCGCACGGGAGCAATGCGGTTTGCCATCCATTTCGGTCGATCGTGGCTTGCGAAATAAAATTTCGAGTTCGGAGCCAAGCGCGGGAAGGGCCGTGATG